AAACTTTAAAAATGATAAGGATAAAAAATATTTAAAAATATAATTTTTTAATAAAAACGTTGGTTTTTTAATAACTTGAAACTATGTAAAAAAATATTTTGAAAAAGTCAATATTTTTTTAAATCATGTGTGTTGTTTGAAAAAAGAATCACCTTGTATAAGGTAAAATTGTTTTCTATACTTTATATAACTTAATATTGATAAATAGGAAATCAAACAAGTATTTCATCCCGATCTGTACCATTACAAGGATGTTCAGTAAAATTTGAAAGACAATACATAGAAGTAGATGAAGAAATTGTTTCAGTCACCACAKATTTAGATGGTAGTTTTATTAAAATTGATTTTTATGTAACCTAAAAATTAAGAAATATTTATTTTCAATTTTAATTAATTATAAATATTTTTTTTCTTTTAATTTTTCTATTTTTAACAATTACTAATATATTTTTACGACTATGAATTTACTAATTAAAATTAAATTGAAAATAAATTACACTTAAAATAATGAGTTGAATTCCATAACCTGAGTTGTATGAAATAATTTAGATTGTGGATTAAAGTTTTTGTCTTTTAGGTCAGCCGCTCGCAGATAGCGGCCAGTGGGTGCCATTTCATCCACTGACATTTTTTAGATAAAAATTTATTTTTATTTTTATTATATATATATAATTATTTATATAATAATTATATATATATATATAATTTATTATATATAATAAAATAAATTATATTTATTTTTATTTAATATTACAAAAAAATCATTGTGCACATGGGATTCATAACTTTATTTTATAAAATTTTGGCGTTCATAAAAGCTCGCATTAATGAATTACCTACTACATAAAGCAAAAATAATGTTTTTGATCATCTCAATTCTATCAAAATAACACAATGTTGTGAGTACAGCGATTACCGGGAAACCCAAAAAAATATAGAACATATATACACTATACACTTATCCATTGACRCGCCATGTGTCTGTGTAGTGYATTTTGGWCTAAATGTCAGACGTTTATCATTTCTATAATACTATTTGTTGATTCATATTTCATGCAATGTTTAAAATTGTATTATACATTTTTTCGTATTACATTTGGAGTTATGTTTATTACGTAGATGTATAGCCAAATACATAATAAGGTGAATATCCAACTACCTTTATGAATATATAAAATACATTTAATTTTGCACCCACTGAGCTGATTTTCTGCAGGCTCCCCTGGTCATGGGTATGTTTGAATTCACTCTTAACCAAAGCATGAACCAATATTTGTTAAAGGTCATTAATTATTGCTATAAAAATGTATTAAGTTATTACATTAGTCTTTAGATTATAATGAATTATAGTTTATAATACTATAGTTAATAAATTGAATTCACAGTACACATATGCATTGTAATTATTATTTGTTTTTTCTTTTAAATTGCAGAAGAAGATGGTATAACAGGGTCCTTATGCGCACTTCCATTGTCTGTGCATGGATCTGCGTCTGCTCAAATGCAAATGATTAATACTGCCAAAATTGGAAAACAGGTATATTACCTAATTAAAAAAAAATATCATTAGTATAGATAATAATTACTAATTAATTATATTATAGTAAACATCTTAAGTAAGTAGTAGAATTTTAGTATTTTACATTTGTTGGAAATAGTTTGTATAACTTATCTTGAAATGTTTCTTTCACAATTATCATGGTGTTTGGTGTTTGCAATGTTTGCATTACACTATAAGTACAATTATTTATGTCAATTTTTAATGTCTTTGAGTAGTTGTATTATTAAAACACGTGCATTACAATATGTTTATAAAAATTCAAACTACATTCGATTTGTCTATTTGTAAGAAATCATTAGAATATATAATATGTTTTATTTACTTATTGATCTAATAATTTTTTTTCTTTAGGAGAAAAATGTTTGCATTATAAAACAGGCGAGTTTAGATTTTGAACATGTTAGTTATAAAGTGGCTGAGATTATTTGCAATCTAGAAGGTCATAAATTTTGGTGCTATAACGACTATGACTCTGCTATTGTTGATGTAAATATTTGTTTATTAATTTATTATGTTCAGTTTTAAATAATTTAATGATATTAATAGTTAAACTAAAAAATTCAAATATGTTATGACAGATTTGCCCATTAAATGGTGATATTTTAATTTTATTGTGCATAAGACTGAATACAGAAGAAGAGAAAAGACCCACACCCCTTTGTCAACCAGTTAATAGCAGGTAATTTGTGTTAGTTTTTCTAAGATACATTTAGGTACCTAAAATTTATGTACAACTTATTTAAATTTTAAATATATTGTAAATGTCCACTTAGGGGTTTTGAGACAAAGTGTGTAATTCTGTGGAACCCTGAGACTGATACTTGTTACCTGGAGGCTTACTTACAACTGGAAGTAGTCACGGAAGATCCGAGTCAAACGAGTTGGAATCCAGCACGTTTTGAAGCCAATATATTGCGTAAGGCATCCATGGGTTTCTTCAATGTCCCTATGGGCCGTCAAGTGAGGTGTTTATCACATGAAGTCTGGTCCAAGCAAGTTGGTAATCTGAGTAAGTATTTTTATAATGTTAAATAACCTGAAATCTCAGGTAAAAATAAGTAATCTAACAATTTTACTTGTAATAATTTTTTAGATCCGCCTTTGTTTGAAATTAGAGATGAAGATAATATGATAACTATCCTAAGAAACAGAATGGATGCGGTAGAAGAAAACAATTTAATGATGTTCCTCCGTCATAGACTGCCAATATAACTGGTAGAGCAGTAGGAGTTTATCTTAAAGTATATTAAGTTTAATTAGACCATCAAAATATTATTGAAAGATATGTGTGATAGCTATATTTTATTTTTCAACAATTATTTATTGCAATAAATATAATTTGTAAGTTTTATATCTCATCAAATGTATAATGATATTATACTTTACCTGTTTAATTTGTATTAAGGAATTAGTCCCTTGAACTCATTTATTTCTCGTTATTCTCTTTAATGTTCACGACAACTTAAAAATAATAATCAAATCTTCTTTGGAAAAGCTATTGATGTCTTTTACAAGTATATTATATTTTATTATTTCTTACAATAATGTTCAATGTAAATTTTGAGTTTAATATTAAACGCTGAATTTGTTCACATTGGATATATTTTAACTTAATAATTCTGTCTATTAGAATCTAACTTAACTTTATTTCTATTTTTCTGTGAAATATTCTTCTTTCAAGGTATGAATATTATAGTTAGAATAAACAATTAACTTGTAAAATCTTTCATTTTTTTTTGTTTTAGTTAATTTCTATAATTTGTATTGTAGATATTTAAAGTACAAAAATATTATTAAAATTATATATTATAATTAATTTTGTTATTATTTTTTATCTTCTATCCAGCTCTAAAATTAATTAAAAGTGTAGGAAAGTGAAATTGAATAAAATTATATGTTTAACTATAGGTACCTATTATTATTTATTATCAGTTATCATTAATTCACACAAAATGTCAAAATAATCAAAATTTGTGTAGTTTATATAAATATCATTATGACATATTATGTTAATTTGAAATTAATAATGCATATTAAATTAAAATTATAACAATAATAATTCTATAATCTACATTTACATTATAATATTATATAAACAATTATATTAGTTACATCCTCTGATTAATCAAAAAACATAGTAAAATAATTTTAACACTCTAATTTTATTCTGAAATAACTTAATAAATGCCTTATTTAATATTAGAATAGCAGATTGTGAATGATGATGTATATTTGTAAAAAAGTATAACTTGTAAAACATTTGACAAATCGATGTACGTATAAAATGTCTTGAGGAATATGTAAATGTAAGTGTATATTGCATAATTTAAATTTAGCATATATATTTTTAGTTTTTATTATAGGCTTTCAACTCTTAAAATAACGTACAAAAACGTAGTAACGTATATTGTTACTATATTAACAGTRATATTATACTTCATTTAATATTATGCAATGTCTGCTATGAGTCTGTGAGAATATTATCTATCCGTGGTGGCAGGTAATGCAAAAAAGTATTTTTGAGAAATGATTATTACATTATATTGTTTATATATATATATATATACATTCAAATTCACGTTTGCTAATACCATTTCTAAATGTACATTCTAATTACCTCAATATTATGTTTTTTTATGTGTATTTATTATTAGTATGTACCTACCTATTAAAAGATGTATATATTTAATAGTATTTTATTATTTTAATTCTAACTATTGTGTTAGCAAAGTAATTTAAATGTATTATATGTGGTGTGCTGTTCCCGTGGACACAATCATGTGTTTAAAAATGTTCACTGTAAAGTCGATTTTACTCGAGACTAGGAATGTTAACATAAATTGATATAAAGTACTTAATAGTTATAACATTTCAGTTTGTAAAGACGTACTATACCTCAGATTTTTAAAAGGTACTGAATTGTTTTTGAGTAGGAACAATTTTTATTTATTTTTGTGAAATGATTTTTAATATTATTATTACTTACCTATTTTATCTGATAAGAATGTTCAATTATTGTAAGTTCCTTTTTGTGGATTGTTTATTTTTTATAATAATAGTCCGAAAATATTTATATTGCCTATTAATAAAAATAATATTAAATGTTACTATGAAAATTTTAAAATAATATAATATACTTAAAAATGCGTATTAATTGTATTTATATTTTATTTTGTTGTTTATTTAATGGTAAAAAAAAATATAATATATCAAAAACAAATAAATTATTTATTTTTTACCTTACAAGATACGATAAAAAATGATTGAATAATGACACTTAAAAATTGTAAATAATATAAATCGTCTAAACTGTACAAATTTGGTTTATGAGCCAATAGTCTCTTATTCCTATACGCTAATGTTTGGATGCATTAGGATTTGTTAAAAATAATAACAATTATATTTATATCTATTTACACAATACATACAAAACCATCGCGTACATAATATTATGACACTAAATTTCTATATTAAATTATAAATAATTAGGTTCGTATTGTCTTGAGGAAAAGTCAGGTGTAGCCCAATAGTCCTTTCTGGAGTTTAACCGATTCGAATAGACATCATGTTTTGATATCTCGACTGCGGACCACGTTCTCCCGACTCGTACGATTTATTGTAGTATAATATTATATATGTATATTAATATTTTTTTTTTTTTTTACTTTTGAGCAACTAATTATTATTCTTAGTCTATTCACTGGCATTCGCTTTCGGTATCGCTTTTATCTGTAACACGTATAAAAGACACAGGTCAAACGAAATTCACTATTATTGTTATTTAATCCTAACCTATGCACTATCTAGCTTAGATTGAGTGTACTCTGGGACACCCCCAGAGACTTTATTGGAGGCTAAGTCATAATTTTTAATAAAACTTTCAGTTATTTAATTTTTTTTTAAATAATTTATAATTTTGTAAAATGACTTGTCTTGAGCGGGATCGTGGATAAATACACATCTCAATTACTATAATTTTTTCTACTCTACAGGTACAGACAGTACAGTGACAACTGCGTCTCGAAAAATAAACCTTTAAATAAACSTGACCAAAAACTGTTGAAGGTACAACTGTAATGAAAGTAACTAAACCCAAATAAATTTTAAATCTGTTATAATTATTATGAAAGTTGTATATTATAAACACAGTGCGACAATAAAGAATTCTGTGCAAGTATAGAATGTCATAACATAAGATGTCTATAAATTGATTTTTATAGCGAATTTCTAAAATAAACCTATTTTTATATATATAATATATATAGGTATAAAAAAGTAATACGAGACATTCGCAAATATAGACTATTCAATATATCGTACGAAGAACATAATATAAACGGTTATAAAATATCACTATTATATTCACCTTTCTTGCCGTTGTAAGCGTGCCTCTTGAGTCTGTCGTATAAGTCTTCTTTGTTACCGTATATGCTGGCGTTCGACCTGGCCAAGCTGTTCATCTTACCGTTGTGCAGACCCTCTGCGAACACAAAAACGTCGTTTATAATTTATTACATTAATTTAACCGGTGCCGTCGATATTTTGCATAAAAAATACACTATGGTACTGTATACAGTATACACTACCGCAGTTTAGGTAAAATGGCAATAGAAACATAAATATGAATATTCTATAAATTKTTTCATCTATAAATGTTTACCTTTCATGTACGTCTCGTTGTAGAAGTTAGGCATCTCCCAGCCGTCCTCCTCGTCGTCGTAGTAATGTGCGTACGTAGAGTGATGAGACGGCGCTATGGACTCGGCGTACGGGGCCGCGCCATAGTAGAAGTTKACCTGGGACCCCGTCTGGTCATTGGTCTGGGCCATCAGCTTCTTGGGCTCTTTGACACGCTCCGATCGAGCGCAGATCATCCACACGAACAGTGCGATGACGATGAGGAACACGACGGTGGCCGCGATGCCACCGGCGATGTACGCGAAGTCGGACTTGTCCTCACAGTGGGGTCCGATGAACGACCCGACGCAACGGCACGACGGTTGACCGCGCAGGTCCTTGACGCACGTGCCCTTATTCTCACAGTAGCCGTCGCACACGTCTTTGCACACCTTACCGGTTCCGTTGAATCCGGGACGGCATTCGCATTTGAAGTCTGACGTCTCCGGTATCAGCAGACAGTCGGCGTTGGCGTCGCAGTGCTTGCCAGCCACGTTCGCCTCGCACGGGTTCCAGCATTCAGACTTGCTCGTCTGTGAAAAACATATCGTGATGATTATTTACCATAACGGAGACTGACAGAAACAAACTCGCGGCGATGGCCGTTTTCGTTTCGAATTTAGTATAATACACTTACGGCAGCCACGGTYTTGGTGCTCATGTTTGGCGGACACGGCAAACAGTTGGTCTGCTGCGTGGCGGGTTGATAAGTGCCCTTCTTGCACGAGATGCAACTATTCTGGGTCGCGTTCAAGTACGTTCCTGCAAAAACGTTATATCACTCACGGTCAGATGGGGTCCATATTACGTTGATACTATATGATTATTATATATGAGTAGGTGACATTTATTACCTGGAACGCAGACTGGCAAAGAGCATTCCTCAATGCTAGAAGCTCCTGATTGCTTGGTGGTTCTACCAGCGGGACATTGTTGACATGCCGGTTCGACRCCTTGAGTTCGGTAAGTGCCTCTAGGACACGGTTCACATTCCCCTTCGATACCCAAATGCATGCCATCCGCACATTCGTCTCGACATTCCTGCAAAATGATGGCAATGAGACAACGTGACAAAAACGCGTGTCGTGTATGCGTATTATTATAATATTATGATCGTGTGACTAACCTCTCGGGACACTGCCTCTGTGGTCCTCGTAGTCTTGCCAAGGCCACACAGTAGGCATTTGAAACTTCCTTCTGATGGCTGGTAAAAGCCATAACCGCAACTTCTGCACAGACCAGCCTCGTCGTCGTAGTACTTGCCTGCTGGACACCTTTCTTTGCACTCCGATGCCGACCTAGCTCCCGTCGACACGGTCACACCTTGCCTTCCCGCGATTGCTGGGCACACTGAACACTGTAATTGACCGGATTCGCTTTGGTACGAACCCACCATGCACGGTACGCATTTTTTCGTTTCTTTTTCGTAGTAACTTCCCACGGAACACGGGACTGTAAAACGAAACGCATATATAAGGAAGTTGTAATATATAATTTAATCAATAACAACAAAAATGTATAATGTTCGTGGCAGTGTCTTACCGCAGTCTGGTGCCATAACCACTTCTCCAATGGGACAAGCATAATCAGATTCCAAGTTCAGAGAAGCTGGGTCTGGGACTGTGTTCGGTAGAATATCGTGCACGTCAAATTGATCTTCTTCCAATATGAGTTTTTCCAATAGCCTTTGAATGTTTGCTCTTTGGTTCGAGTTACTGTTGACCACGGGATCACTACAAACAACATAGTGTTAGTACTCAAACTTACGATATACGTCATATACACCATTGGTTTGACTAATACTACTAACTTGATAGCTGGGAACGAAATCTGCACCGAGTATGTGTCGCTGGCTTGCCTCTTCTCTCTAAAATGTTTAACGAAGTCATCTTTTAATTAACGAGAATTTATTCGAACAAATTTTACACACAATTATATGTATACTAAAATTTTAATATAAGCAGCATTAAAATTTACCTTATTGCGACAGCAGAATCACTTTCGTCGTTTTCTACATTTCTAGTTGGCCTCGAAGACCGATGATCACATTTCACTTCGATATTCAAATCTTTGCACTCGCGTGTTCCTTTAATGGAATACGAACAGAGGTTCCATTCTCTGTTCAACGTATTTATTGCATTTCTGACTTTTTGTTTCAGCACTCCTTGTCCCGCTTCATTACATAGTACTGACGTAGGGAATTTCATGTCGACCTTGAACACTCGTTGAGCTGGTTTAGATGCTGAACATGCAGGATAGATTGTCGGGTAAGCAGGATCTATGGTGGGTCTCCAGAAACCTTCAGCACCACACGTGTAGAATTTAGGAACTTCTTGTGAGAACCTTAATCCTGGATTACAACTGATTTCACACACTTTGAACTGTCCACCGGAACCCCAATCTTTACATTGTTGCTTTCCACCAATTGGATCTGCCAGCGTTGGACAAAATTCAGCTAAAACCAGACAAAATGCATACAAGGTTATTTGTGTGTCAAAGATTTTTAGAAAATACTAACTATAACTTTACTTACATAGAACATATAYTCTAAAAGAGCATACAGCAGCATTACCAACTTCGTCAAATGCCACATATGCGATACGATAAGTTCCCCAAAGGAGTGTTTGTCCAGGTTTATGGCCGTTCTTCTCCTCAACTCTTACTACTTCAACATTATCAGTAAATCTTGGTTCATCCCAATTGACAACTGCTGAACCATTTTTCGCAATTACCCAGAGATCACCTGGACAATATTCAACTTGGGGTGGTTTTTTATCGACTTGAAGCTGTTCGCAGTTCGGTCCAGTGTATCCAGCTGGGCAAGAGTGTTGACTGCATTTCGAAGGAACGATTCTTTCAACGCCCCCTTGGATATCATCGAAACCTGCCCACGTGAGAACTAATCCTTGGTAGAGTACTGGCTCGGTTCTACAATCACGAACTTGTTTCTGCACTTCATTAGTGATATCAAGAGCCCGTCCCCAAATTTGTACTTTGTTCAGCTGACCCTTAAAACCAGCTTCTGTAAATGTTTTTCTGTCCATCCTTGGCTTTCCTAACACAGTCCAACCGCTGTAACGGAAAAAATATTTATAAAATATTTTTATTAAAAATTAATATAAAATTTAACTCACAATTCTGGTAACTTCCTGCCTGTTCCGTAACCTTCCATTTTACTTGCGATTAATCCTTCGGTGATCAAAGTTAGTGTACCTTGATTCCACACGATTGCAATGTGATGCCACTGTCCATCGTTAATAGTAGTGTATTCGTGGAAAGCCAAAAACACATCTTGAAGTTCTGGGAAAATTGATACCTCAACACCACTAGAATGAGCTTGTATAAGTACTCGTTGACCCTGTACTACATGAGGAGACCTAAAAACAATTTCAAATTAATTATATTTGTCATAAATAATATTATTTTAATACAGTATGATTGAAGATTGAACTAACGTGACACTGTAAAGCGTGAAGAATATTCCTGGTTCGTCTTTTTGTGCATATTGAACCCACATAGCAATAGTGAAACTATCTCTGGATCCTGTGAATTGGAATGGAACTGTTAAAGCTGCACTACTTAGTGTCTCGTCCGGGAAACTAAAATCGTAATCAACTTGGATAGCTGAAATATAAGTTTAACAATTAAAATTGGTTTCGAACATTTTATAAGTGTATGCTGTAATGTACTTTTTCTACAATCATCTCCCGTCAAATTAAATGGACACTGGCAATAGAACTTATTGGTAAGATCGATACAAGTAGCTGTAGGTGGACATGAGTTTTCTTTGCAGTCAACTATATCTTCATCACAATTTTTACCCATAAATCCAGGTGGACAGATGCACTTGTACCCCGGACCGTTATCAATACATGTCGCTCCATTTTTACATGTATTAGCTTGACAAGCATCAAACTCATATTGGCAACCGATTCCATCATAATCACTCGGACACGTGCAATTCAATCCAGATCCAAAATCTTGACATCTACCACCGTGCATACATGGATTACCAATACAACGTTCTGGTGCAGTCTCACACTGCTTTCCGTCAGTTCCTGATGGACATCTAGAAAAATATTGTAAGATATGATACAATCCCGTTTTATTATTGTATATCGATTTTTTTTAAATATATATAGACTAAAATTCGTATACTTACACACAGAAATAGTCTTGGAACAAATTAATACACGTTGCGTCGTTATAACATGGTTTACTCTGGCATGAGCTTAAATCGATTTCACATCGTTTTCCAGTCCAGCCAGGTGGACATTGGCAAGAGAACGTGTTAACACCATCGTAACATTTACCGTTGTTCATGCATGGTGAAGAAGCGCAATCATCAATGTTMTTTTCACACATATTTCCAGTGTATCCGGAATGGCATACACACTTGTAATTGTTGTCCAAATCTAAACATTGTTCTGTACCTTCGGGACTGCATGGATCACTTAGACATTCGTCAATTCCAGCTTCACATTGAAGACCTAAGTAACCAGGTCTACAGCGACACATAAATCCGTCCAACATGTCAACACACGATCCTCCATTTTGACATGGTCCCGAAGCACAATCATCGATCAAATGTTGACATCTTTTACCAGTATAACCAACGTCACAAGTACAAGAATAACCATTCACCATGTCTGTACATTCTCCATCGTTTCCACACGGGTTACTGGCACAATCATCAATGTTAATTTCACAAGCAGCACCAGTCCATCCCGGATGACAAACACATTGATGACTGAATAATCTATCAATGCACACACCATTTTGACATGGGTTAGCCGCGCATATTTCAATTTTTGTTTCACAACGTTTTCCCGTAAAACCTGGTGGGCACGCGCACTTGAAATCATTAATGAGATCTGTACAAGCCGCTCCCAAAAGGCATGGTCGTTCTGCGCAGTCATCGATGTTTATATCACAATGTTCACCTTCCCAACCAGGCTTACATTCACATTTGTATCTACCTTGTTTCAATGCTGTACAAGTAGCTGAGTTCTTACATGGGCTTAATGTTTCCATGCATGGATCAATCTATAAATAATTAACAATTCAGAAATCAATATGTTTTATTAAGTAATAACATATTTTTTTTTTTTAACTAACCGTCATATCACAATTTTGTCCTGTGTAGCCACTACGACAAAGGCAAGTAAAGTTGCCTAACCCTGGTTCATCTTTGCACATTGCTCTTTCGGGACATGTATCGTTCCTACAGTCAGATTTCTCTTCTTGACAGTTTATTCCACTAAATCCATTTTTGCACTGGCAACGGTAACCTTGAGGAAGATCTATACATGAACCTCCATTGAAACATGGCTGAGAAGCACATTCGTCTATGTCGATTTCACAACGTTTTCCTGAAAAYCCAGCTGGACAGAAACATTGTATTCCATGACCGAGTGGTACACAAAGCCCACCATGTAAACATGAACTTTCGGTGCAAACGATAGATTGACATTCATCTCGTCCTGCAGCTCCAGATCCTTTGGTTTTTGTATTTGTAGGACATCCCAAACACGCAGTTTGTCCACTTCCCGCTTGATAGTAGTTTGGAGGACATGGTGAGCAGGGCGCTAAACCAGTTTCTGAATACTGACCAGGAGGACATTTAGCTGTAACGTTAAATGTATTATGACGTGTACATGAACTATGACATGAAATTAATACCTCTGCAAAAATCTTTGTTTGGAGCAGAAGGTTGGTATGTAAACATGTTAGGTGGACATGATATACATTCCTTGAAACCAGAAGTAGGTGGCTCTGATGTATAACTATTTCTAGCACATTCGAGACAAGGAACAAGTCCTGTCGGTGAATAAGTTCCATATCCACACACAGGAATACAATCTTTCAAACTTTTTGATCCCAATTCCTTAGTGTATGTTCCATTAGGACATTTCATACAAGCACCTTGTCTAGCTGTATCTTGGTAGTAGCCACGGGCACATGGCATACACGATGTTTGTTTGATTCCAGCATAAGTTCCGGCCGGACAATGCACTAAAATGATACGTGTGAGATTAGCTCGATACACATATCAATATAATAAATAATTATTTCATACAGCATCGAGGCACTTGATTAGTGTCCATATTAAGTACTTCGCCAATATTACAAGTGAATCCTTTAGATACAGATGATCTAAGAGCCTTCAATGGAGGACATTGATTAGCTACTGCTGATATATTTAACAGTGGTTCTATAGCAGCACTAGCATATGAAACACTAAGATCAAAAACTAAATTCAAAGTTGACCCACAGAAATCATATAATTGAGGCTGTCTAACTTCTGGTAAAACTCCTAATACAAAATCAATCTAAAAAAAATAAATAAATATATTATCCGTTTAATATAATTTTAATTTGCATACAAATATTTACATGTTTTATACAGATTAATACATTAATTAGATTAACTAACATACCTGAACTAAGTTTTCATCTAATAGTTGTGGTTTAGTATCAATGAATGATACATTCATGTTAACTTTAACAGCAGAACATCTTTCTGTCAAAATATCATTAAGAGGTCCATAATGTTGGCTCAAAATGTCAGCGTATTGTCTTAAACATAAAGATGGGACTGCGCCATTAGCACGATAAATTATTGATGGCACCACGTGATAATCAGCTTGATGTGTGTCTTCAGATACACAATCTGGTACAACTGAAGAWGGTGACCATTGACTTCTTTGTTCACAAGTAAATGATTTTGTTGGTTGGCCATCGGTAAATCTAAATCCAGCTTTGCAAGTAGCTATACACTCTAAACCACTATCATCAGATGGCAGACAATTTAATGCTCCATTTGAAGGTGGCTTAAGATCCCAATCAACACAAGGAGTTGCTTGTACAGAAACCTACAATTCATATATTAGAATTATATAAATGAGATATTGTTTTTAATAAGAAGCTAATTGCATGAATTTATTTTTTTATTAATATTTATGGAAATATTACCTGGAAATAACAAGTAGCTTTGTTTCCAAATTTATCAGCTGCTGTAACTGTTACATTTTCATAATCTCCAATAGCAATCGAAGCTCGGTCTGGATTAAATGTAAGCGTGACTTCACCAGAAGCATCTGATACATTAATTCGTCTACGAGTTTCATTAAAGTTTACTACATAATTGTCTTGTTTGTTCACTAATTCAATAACGTAACTTTGGGGACAACTCAATTGTGGCGGGGTTTCATCTAAAAATAAGTATAAAACGTTATAAATATCATAATCGTAATTTTGTATTATTTATTTAGTTCTACCTGTAACTGTGATGTTTATTTCACAGATGGCTACATTTCCGTCAAAATCAAATGCAACGTATTTTACTGCTGTATCTTGGAATGTATAGAATGGTAATTTAAAACTTTGCGGTTTCACTTCAAGTCTTGCAATGCTACCACTGTTGTCAACTGGTACTGGTTCTGTCATATTAACTGGTTCTATTCCATTAGGTCCACGACGTACTATGATCGGTTGAGTTGGACAATTTTGGAATACCGGAGGTTCGTTATCTGAAATATTATTATTTTTAGTATTTTTTTT